GTATCTCAGTGACAAATATAATGCAGTGTATAGCAGTACTTAATATTTTTCAAATAAATAATCTTTGCAATTCAATTCTACATTTACAGAATGACAAATGCTTAATTTTTAAAAAACTGTCACATGAATCTTCTGCCCTCAGCATGATGTGAAGGGCACTTACCTGGAGAATGTTTGCTGGATGCAGTCAAAGCTGCCCTGAGGGTTGTCTTTGCCCACGTTTGACAAGTAGAAGTTGAAGTTATGTACTTCATTGAGGGGATCATTCTTGGGGATTTTGACAAGCTAAAAGACAGGGGGAGAGAGAGAGAGAGACACCTCAAATTACAAATTTACCAGAGAAGATCTTATGACGAACTGGTTTGACAAGTGAGTAATTTTATAACCCTGATATTTAAATGACCAAACAGATCAAGGAATCTGACAAGTACACCTAGGTGTCACCGTTTTACTTCCATTTGCTACCCTTCAGTGTCCCTAGTCACTTCTGAACAGTAACTGCCCAGTGAAAGGAACCCTCCTCTTGCAGGTAAGCAATTGATTCCAATGCACACAAAAAGCTTATTAATATATTTTTTGCTGAAAAGTTCTTGCTCCTTTGAGCTGCGGTCTTCTGCTGATTCCCTGCAGAATAGCTTCAGGTGCTTAAATGGTCTCTGAGATACAGGCAATACACTAATCTTTTGTTCTCTTAACAAAAAACATATTTTATCTCAATTTTTGCCTCTCAGAGTGGTACTTGTGAGCAGAACAGCAGCAGCAGAAGGTTAAGCCCTAATTACAGTCACAAGCAAAATTCAGCTGCTGTGCTTCTCCCGTTCATCCTCCTGTTTACACAACAAGACCAGCAGCCCAGAGAGGAGGAGCTCACAGGCCAGCCCCAAGCGAACTGTCAGGTCTCAGTTCTGGTAAGTGAAGGGACAGGGTTCCTCTAGTGACCAGGCCACACAGCATTCCCCGTGGTCTGCCCCAGTATACCTGTGTCAGCAGACTGAATCTCCCTTCCAACTGTACCACCCTTGCCAGCACCTGAGACTTCTTCCCTTGGGACAGCAGCTCCACTATGGTGTTAGGTGGGGAGCATTTTCCCCTGCCCTCCTTCTCTACTAAATTACTAAACCTATGCATGGGGACTGGAGGGCAGGAAACCATATTTTACAGATTTGCTAACAAATCCTGTTAAATCATCACACAGCACTGCTGATGACCCATTCTCCTGGAAATCAATTTTTTTTTGTTTTGGAACATGAAGAAGCACACTAACTGGCTGCACAGCATCTGTGACACACTCAGCAAGGTGCAGGAGAGCACACCCACGTGAGGGCCCCCATGCACCCCGCCCAATCCAGCTGTGATGGCTTAAGCTGTGACCTGCAGGGACACCTGGGATCTCCACCCATCCCCCTCTGCAGTACCTAGGACATAGCAGACTTCAATGAGTACCTGCTGAAGAAATGAATGTACAAAGAAGTCAAGGAAAAACATCTTTTTAAAGGCGATCCAGAAGCCTTGTTGGAGCTTTCAAAGGTCAAGTTTCACTCAAAGTGCTTAGTATTAGAAAATAATCAGTAGCGCCTCTATTGTCCATGAATTCAAACCATCTTTGACCCCAGATTGCAAGTCAGTATCAATTCGTAGAAAAACAAGTCTCTACATCTATTCCCTACTCCATAAACAGTATCTCTTGGGGTCTTCCCAGTTACTCTTCAACTCCCTCAATTTCTCCAGGTCTAAATTGCTGATACCCTGTGAACAAGCCTTCATTACTTTCTCTGTGGGCTCTCATCGATCAGCTGCCGTCCTATACAACTCCACACGTGATGCAAACACAGTGACTTCTTAATCCCACAGCAGTGGGGAGAGCAAGGAGGAAGAGGAATACTTATGTCAAAGGCAGGAAGGCAAGGCCATGTGCATGCTGGGTAACCGCACTGGGGTCTGCCTTGGTTTTCCTGAGATGACCAGGGTCTACCGAGGCTGATGGACCATTCAGCATAGCCTAAAGCCTCCGAAACCTTCCCCAGCCATGGCTCCTTTAACTTCCATGTGTCTTCCCTGCTAACTCCCACCTCCATCTCCAGAAAAGGGTTGGGATGATATTCAGTGGCTGAGGTCTATTTTCTAAGAGTCGCTGGAGTCTGAACGCAAGCTCTACAAATACGCGGTAGTTTTTCACTGAAAACTTTTAACTTAATCACTAGTGTCCTTTTAGTTCAGATGTCTATTAAGAGCATTACAGGAAAGCCCTTAACCGAACTTCAGAGTAAGTATACCTTTTCTTTTCTTAGCCTTAAACCACCCACTCTTCCAAAGTGAAGTATCATTTACACTTTTTAAGGTGAAAGAAATCTTTCCAAACATCTTTTCATTTCATTTTCACACACACACACACACACACACACACACACACACACACAGAATTAAGAGTCTTGTCTAAATTTGGAGAGTTGTCACAAAAGCATCTTGTTTCAAGCAATCCATGCATGCACACTCCTCAAACAATGGGGACTCTCCTGCTGTTTCACCCCACAGCCTTTCATATTCTCATTCCTTAGAAGTCTCGTGAGTAGGGCCTGGGATATAGTTCGGAGGCACTGTGCCTTCCTCGGCAAGCTCAAGGTTCTGAGTTCAATTCCCAGTACCAAAACCAAAACAGGGGGGCCTGCCCCTTAGCTCAGTTCTTTAAGTGGCTGCTTCAACAAAGCAGTCAGGCTCAGGTTGCTGTGGTTCGATCCCCACAACACAAGACAGCCAGTCATGCCTTGAAGGCATTCGGCGCCAAAAAAAACAAAAACAAAAACACTTCTGCCAAAACCAAAACAAACAAAAGACTCTTGAATAGAAAAACCCTACAATTACTTTAAAAAAAAAAATTCAATAGTGATCAGAATAGGAAAGAATCAGATTAGAAACAAAAATTTTTGAAGTATTTGTAACCCATGTTATGAACCTACTGGGTGTTTTAAAGTTTGTGACACACACAGAAAGCAATTCTCAACTCACAGCCACTGCCCCCGCCCTCCAACCAGGGGACAGTCCATCCTGGAGGGAGCTCCAGGCACTGAGAGAGCTCACGCTCCCGCAGCTGTGGGGGCCAGGTCCCGTGTCTCGGCACCGAGAGAAAGAGAGAGAGAGAGAGAGAGAGAGAGAGAGAGAGAGAGAGAGAGAGAGAGAGAGGTGGCCAGCACACAAAGCTCAGGTATTCTTGCTTTTAAGTTTCCTTCGGAAATTACAAAACTGAAAGCAATAAGCTAAAAGTTTCAAGTACATATTGAATTGTTAGATACTGTATAAAGACATTCCCACTAACCTACAGAAAAGGATTAAAATGCTTATATTTAAAATTAAGAAAAAAAATAAAATTGAGAAAATTCCCAACTCACCAAGGAATGTTCTAATATTCTTTCTAAATCAGCCCTCAGAATAGACTTCTTGCGGTACTGTCCCAGTCCTTAAGAGCTGATCCTAGGTGCATCAGAACCAGTACATTTTCACCACCCCCTTCTCTGCTCTGCATATAATTTAGAGGCCAGTTTTAAAAAACGCTTCATAATCACATGGAAGAAAGGAATCGGCTCCCACATACCACAGAGGCAATACACCAAATGGGCCTGGATTAGACAAGGCCTCAGGCCTCCCGCATGTTTCTTTAGTAGTCTATTGGCTCTGGTACACCCGAGGATCCCCCTGTTAGCTCTGCAGTCCTCTCCCCAGCCTGTCCTAGTAGTGGTACACAAGTTGCTCTATGAAGCCTCCTGCTTTGCTGCCTTGGGCTGAAGAGTACTGCAGACTCATCAGCCCTAAACATACACACTACTTTGTGTACCTGTTTTATTCTCGAGGATTTACTTAGACATGAAGCCAAGTAAGCTTTTTATCTACTTTATACCTTAAGAATTAAATAATGTTTAAAAAGTATTAAAGATTCTATGATTCCAAAAAGGTTCTTACTCTAGATGAAGGATATAAAAATATATCACCATGTCTAGGCAACTGGTAGATTTTAATTTTCACTCCAAAAATGAGACTGAAAATCAACGGCTTAGGACAACCCACAACCCTCCTACCAAACTCCAGCCTATCTTAGATAAAAAGCTACAAAGAAAAAGTCTCAAGAAACTCTCAGACATTTATAATTAACATAAACACTGTATACCAAGACCTGTAAGTCAAAGCTTCTAATTACTCTGAGATACGAGCTCAGGCATGTGGCAATGGAATAGTGTCTGAAAGGTCATTCTGGCGTCCAGTCACAGGCCTGCTGCTTACGCAGGGGTCTGGGGCAGTAGTGCAATGTGCACACTGCTGCGACTTTCACACACATGCGCACTAATATCTGTCTAAAAGTAGCAGGTACCCTTCTGGCAGAGGTCGCTTATCCATAAGGCAAATACTCAATTCTGGGTTGAGTTACACACATGATTACAAGTAGTGGCTTTTTCCATTGATTCAACTACATCATTCTTTCGTAGATATTACAAATGATTTAAATGCCAGAGCCCATCTTGGCCAGTAATTCTGTGAACACTAATACCCAAGCTTTTCTGCCAAGGAGACTGTAAGTGCTCACTGAGACACTTATGAACCAGCAGAACCATGGTTTGATATGGTAATTCTAGGCTTTACGGGAGATGGATAGGGAGAGAGGGAAAAGATAATCTAGTTTAATTTCTGCATTTTATAAATTAGGACAGAAGAGGCTCAATGACTTGCTCAGGGTCATGTTCACATTTAAAACTGTAGATCCCAGAGCTGGAGCCTAGCTCAGTGGCAGAGCACTCACCTAGCATGCACAGGGCCCTCTGTCTGAGCCCTGGCACAGCAAATAAATACAAATTTAAATAAAATAAAATTGTCATCCCTATCCTCCTAACCCCTTACTTCGCTCTATGGTTGTCTAAAACATTCACTGCCTTGTGATACTTGCATATTCTGCTTCTAGTTTGCTTCCCCTATTAGAATATATGCTCTGCAAAGACAGAAGCCTTTGTCTGCTGTGTCCCTTGAATATGTTGCTAGTATTTCAAATGATACATGGCACAAAGTAATCACTCAACACATATTTGCTGAATGAAGGAAAATGTTGATTAATGTCTAAGCCAGTGCTAGACCTTAAGTGTCTGCTTTCTTTCCATCCAGATTTCCAAAGCATGCTGAAAAGTTTCCTTATGTAAAGAGGAGATCCTAGCCTCAAATAAATTTGGGAAATGCCAGGTTAAACAGCATGACTTTCTTTGCTGTAGGTCCTTTCACACTGAACAGTTGCTTACCAATCTGTGTGGCCT